TACCTATAAAATGATAGGTTTTTTTTTGTGAGTGTCAAACACTTAAATACACCATTTCGATAAATAAAAATAATATATATCGAAATTCAACCGTATTTTTTGTCTAGTACTTTTGTAAGTTGTGTTGAATTTCGACAAATGCTTATAAACACGAAATCTTGACTTGCGTCGTATTTCTCCATTATCTAAAACAAAACATTCACTCAGTTTGATAAAGTATTTTTCTTGCTAAAAAGTTTATAATCTTATATTAGAAGAAATTTTCATGCTATGAGTAAAAGAAAAAACTAACTTATGTTTACATTTGATGGAGTTTTTCAAATCTTTCAAGATTTTATTTGCAACATAAAACAGGACTGAAGTGAAAGGTAATAAACAATAAGCTGTATTTTTGAGCAACAATTCCTGCTTCTTTAAATTTATATTTATTGGGCTGAATCCATAATTACAATTAATTGATAGTCTTATTTGTTGTGGAAGAATTAAAGACTAAATCTTTCATATGTCAGTCTTTTGTTGATGGTTATAGGGTTATGAGCTGATGGCCAATATATCAATCTGGTAAAAAATATTTAATAATCCCTCTCTCTGTAAAAAATAATAATTTATATTTACCTATGTTAGCTTGATCAAAGTTCTAATAATTCATCTTTCTTTAGCAATAATGTTTTCACAAATTTAGCTTGCTCAGTTGCTCAAAAACAAAAACAAGAAAATCCAAAGTTTCATTTGTTTTTTGTTCATATGTACTTTACAAAACAAAATTTCAGGAATTTTCAGGACTCATAAACAAATTTATACGACAGTCCAATCCTGCTATGTAAAATTAAACTTGCACTTTCAGTTTATTAAACGTACTCACCAAGGCAAATGATAACAATTATCGGCACAAGATTCACAGTGGCCTATATGAAATATAAATAAAACCGATCCTAATATTCAAACTTTTTTATTGTTTGTTCTTGTCTTCTTTAATTAAGTCGATAATTACAGCGGTTTTCAAGAATTTCCAACAGTGAACGTTTTAGAGCACTTTTCCATGCCTTCCAGGAATTCAAGATGAATAATAATATTTGATGAAATTATTTCGAGAATTTAAATATTCAAATAAAGATTTAAACGAGAGGAACGTTGTGAAGAGATAAGGTGTTCGAATAGTGCCCAAGGAAGTGCAGATCAATAGGCGTTTAAAGGTAGTTCATATTAAATAAATATAGGGAGTAGTAGTAGTTACTTATCTGTCTATCAAAGGAGTAGCTGCTTAGAGTGCCACAGATGATATTGTCCACCACAGGAGTAACTGCTTAGAGTGCCACAGATTATACTGTCTACCACAGGACTAACTGCTCAGAGTGCCACAGATTATATTGTCCACCACAGGACTAACTGCTCAGAGTGCCACAGATTATATTTTCCACCACAGGAGTAGCTGCTCAGAGTGCCACACATTATATTGTCCACCACAAGAGTAACTGTTCAGAGTGCCACAGATTATAGTGTCCACCAGATGAGTAACTGCGCAGAGTGCCACAGATTATATTATCCACCACAGGAGTAGCTGCTCAGAGTGCCACAGATTATATTATCCACCACAGGAGTAGCTGCTCAGAGTGATACAGATTATATTGCCCACCACAGGAGTAGCTGCTTAGAGTGCCACAGATTTTCTACCATAGGAGTCTTAAGAGGTTATTATGTCATTGTACAGATCATTGGTTAGGCCACATGATTAATATTTTATTCAGTCTTGGACTCCTTACGTCAGAAAAGACGCTGAATTGTTGGAAAAGATTCAGGGATAGAAGGATGATACCTGGGATAGAAATGTTATCATACGAGGATAGGTTAAGAAATCTGAATTCGTTTTCTCTTGACAAAAGAAGAGTTTGAGAATATCTGATTAAGGGTTTTAAGACTGTTAAGGGAATTGATAGTGTTGATGCATAATCGTTTTTAGATTTAATTGTGTACATGGTAATACTGGGGGACACAAGTATAAATTTTGGCAGAGAAGAAGTCATCTTCATCTGAGACAGCTTTATTTTTCTAACAGGGTGGTTGGTCTTTGGAATGGTTGCCCTTGGAGGTGGTGGATGCAGTTAATTTAAGGGAGTTTAAGGTAAAGCTTGATAAATATTTGAATGACAAGGGATAGCTGGCTTTGAGGCGTCTTTTTTAATTTAATGGCTAGGACGGCCTTAAAGGACCAAAATGTTATGTTATAGTCAACTATCGAACTCTCTGGTGGCTCCAAAAGGGAATCCACTTGGTCTGCCCCACTTAGACATCATGTAGAAACAGTCAGTGTCCATTAATGACGTCATGTGCTAATGGAGATGAATACCCTTCTATGTGGTAAAAGATAAAGTAATCAATATAGTTTATTAAATTGTATTAAACTAGCATAATTTTAGTCAATTACAGTTTTACTAGCAAAATAATATACTCTTTCTTTGAATCTTAAATCATAAGAAATGATAGTTATACTTAAACTGAAATATATTAATTATTATCAGAATATTTTGTCATCTAACTACCCTATCATTAAAATGTAACTAATATGGTGTATAGAAGACATATTAATAATAGAAATAAATTATATTATAACACCAATATGTTGTTTTTATTTCATTAAACACTCAACGTTTCAATTTACACCTTCTTCAGGAGCGTTCAATAAAACACAAACCGAAACTGATAGTACAAAATTTCAAATGGTTTAAATAATAACTTCTGTTCTACCTGATAATGCCACATTCTTACTAGAATGTTAATTCTTTATTCGATGGGTCCTTTTCAACTGTTTCGTGATAAGGGAGCTATGTCTCTCGAGATATGGTAAGTAGGTGTATAAGGAAAGATTGGATACAGTGGGTATCTTAGGTGGTTTGACAAACAAATTGGTTAAGAATGAAAAAGTTATTTTCTCCAAGAAATGCATGGAGTAACCGTTTCAAAAGAGAATGCTTTGTATGGATATAATTTTTTTGTGAAGAGCTAGATAGGATGAGGTAAGTTTGTACGCTCTATTTAGTAGACAGAGAATAAGATTACGTTTGAAAGAGAAGGGTATAAAACTGTCAAATTGAGTAAAAAGACCAGTAAATGTGTTTTTACGACAGACAGAAGCTGAAAAGTCGTTAGCATCATTGTTAACAAGAACGTCCAGAAAGAACATAGTTATTTTCTTAATTTCATGAGTGAGCTGTATAGAGGGGTGTTGTGAATTAAGATAGTCAAGAAAGCATTGGATATGATCAGTATGGCGGAAAATAAATAACGTATCATCAAGATACCTTCTGTAGAGAACAAACTTGAAGTTTAAAAGACGGTTATCGGTCCAATTCTGTTCGTGGTGACAGAGAAAAATGTTGACAAGCGTAGGACCCAGTGGGGAGCCCAAAGCAATGAAACCAAACCGTCATCTTAAAGTACGAGCATGTGAACACATGGGCATGTCTATAAAAACTGGAAGAAAAGCTACAAACCCTCCCAACTCCGCTATCTATCAAAACAATGCAGAAACAGGACATACGATTTTTTCTCTCCAACTTTAAAATTCTCTCAACAGCCAAACAAGATACTGAATTTCTTATAAAAGAAACATTATACATAAAAACTCTCCTTCCGTCCCTAAACAATATACAGTCTTCACTTGATTTAAACTTATCTTAATTACTTCATCTGTTCCACGTTTGTCATGTTGTCGTGTTGTAATTGTATTGTTGCGTCAGCGAGGTCACATGACTCGTGTCACGCCACGTTTCTAGAACTATCCTGTACCTTGGTGAATGCCCTAGCATTTACTAGATATAGGGTAGGCTGGTATATAAAAGATGGTCACAACGTGACGGGACAATGTGTGTGTAGACAGTGAGTAATTGATCTGCAGTCAGAGTGTATTATTGAGCACGTTCGTTGTTAAAGCGTTTGTTTTAGCGCGATTGTTGAAGTTGAGTGTATCGGTAAAGTTATATTCGGAAAGAATAAACCAGTTTTATTAAGTAAGAACTTGTGCCGCTAAAGTTTCGTCGGAAAGAATTCACGGAAAATCAATTAACAAACGGAGACGTAACAAATTGGTGTCAGAGAGTGGGATAGAAAACAAAAAGAGAAGAAAAATGGAAACGAGAGACGGAAAATCAAACTACAGCTTAGCAGACTTGATGGCAGCAATACAAAAACAAGAAAAGAAACAAGAAAAACGAGAAGAGAAATTACAGCAGTTGTTTGAGAGACAACAGTAGTTGCAAGAAAACATGCAACAGTGGCAGCTCGAACAACAAAATAAACAAGAGAAATTACAGCAGTTGTTGGAGGAAAAAGAAAAGAAACAAGAAGAGAGACAACAGCAGTTGCAAGAAAATGTGCAACAGTGGCAGCTTGAACAACAAAATAAACAAGAAGAGAAATTACAGCCGTTGTTGAAGGAAAAAGAAAAGAAACAAGAAGAGAGAACAGCAGTTGCAAGAAAATCTGCAACAGTGGCAGTTCGAACAGCAAAATAAACAAGAAGAAAGATTACAGCAGTTGTCGGAGGAAAAAGAAAAGAAAGATGAAGAACGAGAAAAGAAACAAGAAGAAAGATTACAGCAGTGGCAAGAAAACCTGCAACAGTGGCAGCTCGAATAACAACTGCTGTAATTTCTCTTCTTGTTTATTTTGTTGGAGGA